TTAGCATACTTAGCAAGCTAACAAAACTAAAGCCTGATTTTTTAATATTACAACCTGATTTTTTTAGGCAGTAAATCTCCATTTAAAAAAAGCACATATAACAAATATTTACTATATTTTGTATAGTAATGTGACCAAATTACAGCTATTTTAATTACATTTCTAATAATCTAATCTAATAATCTAATATTTTGCAGCTAATTAATGAGAATTTTATATAATTTAGTTTAATTGGTTGCCTTGGGTTTTTTGCAGTTATGACAAAATTATTATTTAATATTCATTTATTTATAGTATTTAATTAAATATTTCTGTGGGTTTTGCAGGAGCTCGTCTATTCTGGTTGCTTCTGGGTGATCACAGTTACGGCTATGGCATCAGCAGCTCTGGAGCTGATGGGCTTCTTCCTGGGCTTACTGGGGCTGCTGGGGACCCTGGTGGCCACAGTACTTCCATACTGGCAGATTTCTGCACACGTTGGTTCCAATATTGTCACAGCTGTGGATAACATGCGGGGCCTGTGGATGGAGTGCGTCTATCAGAGCACGGGGGCCTTCCAATGTGAGACCTACAACTCAATGCTGGCTTTGCCTTCGGACCTGCAGGCTGCTCGTGCCCTCATGGTCATCTCCATAGTGTTGTCTATCCTTGCAATCGCTATGGCAACTCTGGGAATGCAGTGCACGCTTTGCTTGGAGAGCTCTGGTGGGGTTAAGAGTCGTGTAGCCGGTGCAGGTGGGGTGTTATTTGTCTTTGCAGGCTTTCTGGCTCTCGTACCCGTGGCGTGGACCACACACGAGGTGGTTAAGACCTTCTACCTTCCAAACGTACCTCAAAGCATGAAGTATGAACTCGGAGAGTGCCTATACACTGGGCTGGCCTCTGCACTCATTTCCATGCTGGGTGGGGGGATGCTATGTGTGTCATGTTGTGAAGAGCAGGAAGGTGGCCGTGGGAGACGCCACGGAGGCGGATATCCGTACCCAGTAGGAGGCGGCATATCGAGCACAGGTGTACGAACAACCTCACAGACCTACCGCAACCCCACCCTGCAGGTGGGGGGTGCCAATACCCCCAGCAGGGGGCAGACACTAATTCGTAGTGCAAGTGGCAGTTCAGAGACGGGTACGCATGGAACCCAACGAGCTAGGAAGCCCACTGCAGCAGGATATGACATCACAGGATATGTCTGAGGGGTCCACCTGTGCATTACACCTTTAACTGTAACTGCCTCACAGCTTAAGTTTAATAAATGTATTCTTATAGTGTATCTAAATGAATGCACATTGTCAGTGTTTGCTGGATTTTTTTGAGAAGCAATTGTGAAATTTCAACAAAATTACACAGCAGAACTATTAAAGTTGTGTTTCTGTACTTGTTTGACCTGTTCTCTATAGTTTGCACGCGTTTGCATTGATAGAAAATTGTCACTTTTTATCTTTATTATCAGTCTTTTACTATCCTTGTGAAATATAAACAAAGTAGACAAAAATGTAGGAAAAATACATGAAGACATTGTCAATAAAAACAGTTTATGAACGGTTTGCATTACGTGAACGCGTTCTCATTAGCTACATAGATGCCTAGCTTTTGCTGCATGTGCAAAAATCTGACTAAAAGTTTTCTACATAGCAGCCAAAATGGATGTTTCTAATCTAAATCAGAAAGAATACTTCTCACAGTACTGTATTACCTGAAACCGATGTACGACCGTGCCTGCAAAATGTAAACTATAACTATAAATTGTATTAATT